TTCATTCAGAACAGAACCATCCTGCAACACGTAATTGTAGAGCCAAAGGTTACTGCCCTGTCCCACCCTGGGGCCTCTTACAGGTCATTTCCTTCCTTCATTCATGGCTTCCCTAATAGCTCAGCTGGTAAAGAATCTGCCCGCAATGTTGGAGACCTGGGTTTGATCTCTGGGTTGGAAAGATCCCCTGGAGAAGGGAACAGCTACCCATTCCAGTATTCTGGCCTGGAGAATTTCATGGGTTGTCCATGGGGTCACAAAGAGTCAGACACGACTGAGCAGCTTTTACTTTCACTTTTCTTCATTCTTTCCAAAAAATATTTATTGACACCCTACTATTTGCAAAGCACTTGCATGGAAAAACAGACAATAAAAATGTCAGCAAATAAGATAATTTCAGATGAATGTCCTTAGGTCACCCTGATCCCTCCATTTCTCAACAACCTCCTCCACACCCAATGCCACAGACTCTGCCACCTCACCCATCTGTGTCCCCGCAACGCTCCTCAGGGCCTGGAAGTCGTGAGACTTCTTTCCCATGTGAGTGAACATTGAGAACAAGTTATCTGACTGTCCTACTATAGGGCACAGGAACTACAGTCAAAGTCCTGGGAAAAACCATAACAAAAAAAGAACACAGCAGAAATTAACACAACGTTGTAAATCAACTATACTTCAATTAAAAAATAATAATACATTTAAAAAAAGCATAAGTCATCCGGAATCCCAGAGAAGCCCCAGCCTCTGCCATTTTATGAGCCTCCTGGTCCAGTGAAAAACTAAGAAATGTCAAGGCAGGTTTAAATTTTTATTTCTCAGGTATCCATTTAATGCATTAAATATATGTTTTGGGCTTCCCTTGTGGTTCAGCTGGTAAAGAATCCGCCTGCAATGTGGGAGATCTGGGTTCGATCCCTGGGTTGGTAAGATTTCCTGGAGAAGGGAAAGGCTACCCACTCCAGTATTCTGGCCTGGAGAATTCCATGGACTGTATAGTCCATGGGGTTGCAAAGAGTCAGACACAAATGAGTGACTTTCACTTCATACATGTATTAATATATACATGTCGTGTACACATGTTATTAATAATACATTAACTACAACCCAACAGGGGCTCCCCAGGTAGTTCAGTGGTAAAGAATCCACCTGCCAATGCAGGAAGCACAGAAGACACAGATTCAATTCCTGGGTTGGGAAGATCCCCTGGAGGAGGAAACAGCAACTCACTTCAGTATTCTTGCCTGGAAAATCCCATGGACAGAGAAGCCTGGTGGGCTACAGTCCATGGGGTAGCAAAGAGTCAGACAGGACTAAGTGACTAAGCATGCACATAACCCAGCAAACCCTAGTACGAGATCATTGACTTATGAAGATGGATCCACACAGGTCCAGTTACCAGTAACATGAGGAATGATTTATTTTTTGAGTCTTCTCAGTGGATCTTGGTGACTGAAAACATAGCTTCAAATGTCAAGGGTTAATTTGAGATTCTTTGTCACTGTTAGGATGAGCCAAAGGACCCTCCCAGACACTCCCCCAAGAACCATATCAGTTCTCAAAGAGGAAGACCCATTACCCATAAGGCCTGAGACTCAGGGCAGGCTGCACTTAAGAAGTGACTCTGAAGAGACATAGCCCAGTCCCCCGAAAACCCACCCAACTCTGCTGCTGCCCGAAAATGCTAGCTTGGAACTGAAGTGTCTGTGAAAGCCCCCTCCCAACCAGCTTTAGGCAGAATTGGATATACAAGGGCTGGAAAAGTTCATTGCAAAGGTTAGAAAGTCAGACAGTGCTAAGTGCTGGCAAGAACATGGGGAAAGAGAATGCACCCTGCAGAGTGAGCTGGAAGAACTTGCTGAAATGCGGTAGACACATCCCCTCCACCCCTCAGAGATCCACTTCTGAGATGCACTCAGAACGATTCTCATTCAGGACCCTAAGGCACATGTGCAAGGATGCTGCTGCAACATCATCTGTGCAACTGGGCTCTGGCGCCGACCTGGTGTCCTCGATGGGAATGGGCAAGAAAAAGGTGGTCCATGAGCTCTACGGAATATTACACGGCAGTTAGAGGTAACTCAGCAGGAATACACACCGAGACACAGTATGTCACATGGGAGAAGCAGGAAACAGAACAAGATCCAGAGTCCCATGGAATTTCTGCTCATCAGACACCTGGGAATATGGCAGCACTAGTGTTTCTCATAGATGCAAATTCAGGGTTATATATCAAACGCATTGAAGGGACTGGCTGTGATGGGAAAGATAAAGGGGGTGGGGACTGGGGTGAAAGGGAAGAGACAGGAAGAGAGGCAAGGGAGAGATAGAAAGGAGACAGAGAGAGGGAAAGGGGAAGCGGAACCTGTAACAATAACACACTAGGGACTGTGGATGAGGTTCATCCAACCCTTTGCACCCAGGGCAGTAGCACCAACATCAACAGGCCATTGCTTCTCTGCAATTGTGAGCTTTGAGTGGATGCCATAACAAGATCAGGCAGCTTTTCAAATGGACAGGCAGAGGCAAAGAGAACAGAGAGAAGCTGGGGAAACACTGTTCATAGAGTCTAACAATCTAATTCAAAAGGAACCAGAGAAATGAAGAACAGTTTACAAGAAGTCAGGGTCAGCCACTCCAGCGCATCCATAATAAACCAGCACAGCAGGAGGTGCATCCTTAAACAAGTTCCCAGGACTACACAGATTCCAACCTTCTGGCTACCCAAAACAACTGGGAAATTCAGCAGTTAAATCCTCTAACCTCCCCTACCAGCGGGAGCAGTTGCTCCAGCCGTGCAGGAAAGGAGTCTCCTTGCTACAAGCAAAGTTCCAACAGGAGCCTACACCCACCGTAGGGGACAGGGCTTTGCTAGAATCACACTTTGTTCATACTCACAAAGTCAAGAGCACGGTAGACGACCCCCACAGATGTTTGAGCACCCTGGGTATGACTCCTAACCCAGCAGTTCTCAAAGTGAGGTCCCTGGATCAACAGCATCAGCACCAGAAACTGAGAGACGCGAACCCTGGACCCCGTCCCCAGGGCTGCTCAGAAACCACTCTCACCCCGCTCCCTCCCTCCATGACTCGCGTGCTCCCCGACGTTTGCGAGCCCTGGCGCTAATTAAAACTTCAAGCTTCACTCCAAAAACACAAAGGATGGAGGCTTGGAAGTGGAAGCTCAGGAAAGAACCTCGCTGCTCTGTGCCCCTCCTCCTGCCCTTTAAGCGCAGGCTGTTCTCCTCCCAAACGCCAACCATGTAGGGAGAAATGAGACTGAAAAATACAGCGGAGAGAATCAGTGGAATCGGTTTGCTGCCTTTTTTTTTTTTAATTGCTAGTTCTCAGCCCAGTCTGCACACGGCCTCACCTGGGGAAGCTTTCAGACTCCCCCCACCAGGGATTCAGATGTGGCTGGGTTTGATCTGGGGGACGCGGGGTACAGACCTGGGACAGGGATGGGGGTGGGGGCAGCCCCTGAAGTCCCAGCCACTCCCCTGGCACGCTGACAGAGCCAACCTTTCCCTGACCCACTTTGTCATCTTCTCAGAAGGGGAGGGTGGTAAATATCAGCTGCCAGCCACTTCCCTGAAATAACCTCAAAATGCTTTGCTCCGTGTCCCGGGTACAGTGCCATATGGCCAGCCGAGCAGCCGTAGGCCCTGGGGCACAGCCCAGTCACCCCACACTGCAGATGGGGCTGTCTGCGTGCCTGCCTCCCACACCACAGCCCCACGCCAGAGACACAAGCCCGGGTGGTACCCTAGCATCTCGCCTGGAGGCTTCAACTTCACAGGAGCCCAAATCACACTCCAAGATAACCAAACCCCAAACACCACGGACTAGGGGTCCGGTCACAACAGGGGATTCCACAGCAGGGCCGGGAGAAAGCAGAGGGGATGGGGTGTCTGGATGGGGAGGGGACCCCCCCCAGGACTGTTCACCTTGCAATCGGGCTGAGTTTAAAGTGCTCCCCTCCCATGGCACATCCTTCATTCCTGGTCCAGATACTGGGCGTGAGGAGAGGTGGTCCACGCCCCCCTCCTCTCTCCATCCCATCTTCCTTGTTCAGAGCCAGCTCACTCCCTTCTTCCTCCGCCTGCTCTCCCTGGGACATTTTCTGTCCCTTAGTGAGGTGGGGGTCTCACTTTAGTAAAAGGTGATGATGCAGAGACAGAGGCCAGAGTGGACCCCTTCCCCCAAGGCCCTCCCCGCCTCGCTTACTCTGCCATCCTAAGAACTTGGGGGTACTGCAAACCCAGCGGAAGGGTCTGGAGAGCCCCCGCCCCCCAATTCCTGCAGAAGCCCCCAGGGACCCAGTGACGGAGTGTTGAGCCGTGGCCACCCAGCCCTCAGCTGGACTTTTGGGGACAGCCGTGGGAACACCCTGGGGACAGCAGCACACCTGCCTCTACAAAGGCCTCAGCGTCAGGAGAACAAACAGCACCCTCGCCCCCACTGGGCCCCCCAAACCCAACTTCCCTCCGGGCAGATCGTCCTGTAAACACTGCGGCTCCAGGTGAAAACATGGCTTTCCGGGGGAGGGCCTGCCCCAGCAAACAGCCTGTGGGCACACACACACACTCCCACACACACACATACGCGCGCGCACGCATTCTGCCGGGAACATCTGTTTTGACAAATTATTCAAGTCAGTCTATGGGACATGAATTGACAAATTCTCAACGTGCAGGTCCCTGGCTCCATACATTTCAGATCTGAGCCAAGCTGGGGATGATACAACCAACTCTTTTATTTTTTTATTCGTTGGCCCACAACCCCTTCCTCACTCCAGCCCAACCTCCAAGAAGACCACATCCGGAGCCCCCAACAGGCTTAGATGAGAAACAATCCGAACTCACACACCTCGGGGTTACAAAGGCATTGCCTGCCGTGGTGTCAAACTTCGCCCAGAGGGGCTTTTCTGCAAAGCTGGGGGCGGAACGGGTGTCGGGAACCCCACAGTGACAGAGAACCGTCAGCCCTGCCCTGGGAAACCAGAACCACGGGGACCAAGCAGCAACATCCCGCATCAGCGGGAGGAATCGTCTGGAAACGGTCCGCCTCTCCCCGCGGCTCTCCGGCGCCGGCGTCCATGGCAGCTTCGGCAGCCGCGCGGTACCAGGACCCGGTGCTGAAGGGCATCCTCAGACCGCTGGAAAATAAACTTTGTCAGGGCAGAGAGTTTCCGGCTATCACCCAGCGATCACCGCCGCCGCTGCAGCGCGGGGTGCGTGCGGAGGGGTGAAAAGGCAAACGAGAAGCTATTTTTAGGAGGGGGAAAAAAAAAAAAATAAATCTCAGCCTACCTTAGAAGCAGCAATGCCAAGACTGGGAGGTTCACCAGGAGACAACTGCAGTCTGCTGTGTCAGATTACAAACTGGGGGCCAGAGGGAGAGCGCAGGGAGGGAAGGGAGAGGGAGGGGAGGAGAAGAGAGGAGGAGGGAGGGAGGGGGAGAGAGAGAGAGGGCATTGGTGTGTCTGCACTGCTTGGATTTAGCTAGAAATGATTCATTAGTTTTCTGCAGGCAGGCAAGCAGGCCCGAAGAGAAAAAGATGGGGGGCGGGGAACCAACCGCCATGCAGCGGTACCCAGAGCCCAGGAAACGTCAGTGTTTTAAACACACACACACACACACACACACACCAAGATGGCTCTCCCCTCCCTGCCAGCGTCTTTTCCACCGAGTTGTGGTCAAAAGCGGGGACAGAAATGGAGGCCACACAGCTCTCTTAGCCACGCAGGGCTTGGGGTTCAGTGGGTGATGCTCCGTCTGGGGAATAACAACGCAAGCTCTCCCCTGTTGGCTGCCAGGGGCCTCCTGCAACCTACCGGCCGCGGAAAACCTGCCCTCGCGCGCCCCACCAAGCTAAGAAACTCAAGTGCAGCCGGGAATTAAACGATTATGTGAACCACCCAAGCTGTTCAGGTCTTTAACCTCTGGTCTGGCGCCCCCGCCCGCCCCAACCTCTAGAATCCAAAGAAAAGAACATATGTGTCCTCGTCTCCCAAGAAGTTCAGACTCTTCCACAGACTACCAGCTACCTAGCAACGCGGCAGAGTGACAGACTGGGAAAATGTGTGTGGACTTGACACACACACACAGATGCACACACACGCGTGTGGGGAAACAGTTTGTTCCCTGAGATGAAAACCCCATCGTGTGTGTGATTTAAAGATGCTAAATAGTTTACTTCCTGGGAAGAAAGCCCCGTATTAGGTACCACAGACCTGGACTGCAGCTGTGAGGGGTCCCAGTGCCACCTGCCCAGGCAGGGACCAGCGACAGGTCCTTTTTACAAAAAGGTAAGAGTCTCTGGAGATGGTTTCTGTTGCTTTTCCAATTAACAGGCTTATAAAACGGGCTCGTCAGGAAAATCTAATACACCCTTGACCACTGTGGTTGAGTCACTTGCCTTACACAAACCACCATGATCTAAAGAACTAACTGGGAAACCCCTTGGTGGGTCCAGTGGTTAGGACTTCAAGCTTTCACTGCTGAGGGCATGGGTTTTATCCCTGGTCAGTGAACTGAGGTCCCACAAGCCACAGGATGCAGCCAATTTTTTTTTAAAAATTTCTTTAAATTAAAAAAAAATAAACATGGTATGAAAAATACAAAGTTAACTGGCCAGAAGGACACTCCTTTTCCAGATAACTTCTGCATCATGGTAGTATGAGGATGGAGGAGACATTTTCCTAATCAGGACCCACTTCTGCTTCCCAAAAATGGAGAGGGTCTGAGTTTGCCTACAAGACTTCCTCCAGCCCTGGGGTTGCTAGTCCCAGCCTCTTTCCATGGAACCAAGAGCTCTGTGCCCCTCTCAGGAGTGGAGTGCAGACCACCCACCATTTCCCTTTTCATTCTGCAGCAGAGCTATCAGATCCCCCTAACCAGGACCAGGGAAGAGAAGAGGCAAACACCTGCACACCACTGTGTACAGGCCGACTAGGCAGCTCTGGGCACAACAGCCAGTGGGTGGAGACAACCCAATGCTCACTGGATGCAGGTGGATCCACAGGAGGTGGTGGTCTATCCAGGCAGTGGAATACTACGCAGCCACAAAAAGGACAGAAGCACAGACACAGGCTACAGCATGAATGGACTTGAAAACATACTGGAAGAGGAAAGAAGCCAGACACAAAAGAAAACATGTCATATGATTTTATGTAGATGAAATGTCCAGAATAAGCAAAAGCATGGAGACAGAAAAGAGATGAATAGGATGATGGCCAGGACCGGGGCCAGGGGGATGGGGGTGGGGGGAGCTGCTAATAAGCACAGGTTCTCCTTTAGGGGTGATGAAAACATTTTGGAATTAGGTGGTGGTTGTACAACATTGCAAAGGCACTGAATGCCACTGAATTACTCACTTTTATGTTATGTGAAGCTCATATCAATTTTTAAAAAAGACTATGGGAGAAGCACATGAATTGGGAGTCAGGCTGGCCAAGGTCTTAATCCTGACCCTGTGTGACCTTGAGCAGGTTGGTCTGTTCCCTTGGCTACAAAAGTAGAAGTATCAGCTTCTAAGAGAGCATCCACCTCCTGGGTTGATTGACAGAAGAAGGTAAAGTTCCTCCCCCTGAGAAAGAACTCATTCTTTGCAAAGGTCGTTCAATGGTATGAATATGGCTTTCTCCCCCTTTTTTCTCAGCAGATTGTTTTGAAGCAATCCATAGATTAGATAGAGCTAAAGGCACAGGTTCTGAAACAATCACCTACAAAGTCCTCCCCAGGCTGGGCCACAGCCACTTGAGCTGGCAGTGTTAAGACTCCAGAATCATTGCCACAACGTTTCATATCGATGGGAGTTGCTTGCCTGAGGGTCTCCATTTCGCCCACTTAGAGGACCTGGCAAGCTGAGAATGGGAGAGGACGCTGTTGCCATCCAATCAGAAAAGGAAGGCAGGTGGGAGTGGAAATTGGTGCAGCCACTATGGAGAACAGTATGAAGGGTGCTGAAAAACGAAAAATAGATTTGCCATATTATCCTGAAGTCTCACTCTAGCACATATATCTGGACAAAATTATAATTCAAAAAGATACATGCACCCCTATGTTTGTGTGTGTGCTCAATCATGTCCAACTCTTTGCAACCCCATGGACTGGAGCCCACCAGGTTCCTCTGTCCCTGGGATTCTCCAGGCAAGAATATTGGAGTGGGTTGCCATTTCTTTCTCCAATGCATGAAAGTGAAAAGTGAAAGTGAAGTTGCTCAGTGGTGTCTGACTCTTAGCGACCCCATGGGCTGAAGCCCACCAGGTTCCTCCATCTATGGAATTCTCCAGGCAAGAATACTGGGGTGGGTTGCCATTTCCTTCTCCAGTTCATAGCAGCACTGTGCACAAAAGCCAAGATGTGGAAGCAACCTAAGTGTCTTTCAACAGAGGAATGGATAACAAGGATGTGGTGTACATTTACAATGAACTACTACTTGGCCACAAAAAAGAATGAAGTAATGCCATTTGCAACAGCATGGATGGACCCGGAGATTATCACACTTAGTGAAGTAGGTCAGAAAATACAAATACCATATGAGATTACTTAATATGTGGAATCTAAATAATGACACAAATGAACTTATCCAAGAAACAGACACAGACTCATCGACATAGCAAACAGACCTGTGGTTTCCAATGGAGAGAGGAGGGATGGAGTGGGAGTTTGGGATTAGTAGATGAAAACTATTATACAGAGAATGCTGTGTTAATTTCTGCTATAGAGCAAAGTGATTCTGTTATACATTATATATATACACATACATTCTTTTTAATATTCTTTTCCATTATGGTTTATCACAGAACATTGGATATAGTTACTTATGCTATATGGTAGGACCTTGTTATTTATCCAGTCTCTATATAATAGTTTTCAATAAATTTAAAAAAAAAAGGAATTCTGTGATTCCACCTGTGGGTACTGTGTTCTAACTTCATAAAAAAGCAGGTGAATTCTATGCTTTAGCCACCAGAAAATGTAACAGAGCAGAGAATTTCATAGACAAGATCTTGGGTAACTCATGATGCAGAGGAAGCCATGCTGCCTCTGTGAAGAATGAGGTGGGAAGACACAGCAGGAAGGGACCACTCAGTACTGGAAAATGGGCTGCCAGGACCCAACCCAGCTTCCTTGAAGAAATCAGTGAAGCTCACTGCTTTGACACTAGTTGGAGGCCACTCAGAAAACAAGACCCTACAGAGGCATCCTGGTTCGACTATTAAGAGCTGCTATAGATCACTCACCGTGTAGGTAGCACTAGTGGTAAAGAATCTGCCTGTCAATGTAGGAGACACAAGAGACATGAGTTCCATCCCAGGGTCAGGCAGATCCCCTGGAGAAGGGAATGGCAACCCACTCCAGTACTCTTGCCTGGGAAATCCCACGGACAGAGGAGCCTGGTGGGCTACAGTCCATGAGATCTCAAAGGGTCGGACATGGCTGAGCGACTGAGCACAAGAGAGAATGGTTTATCTGATCCTGAATGTAAAGGGTGTTTGCAAGACTGACAGAGAAGCACCAGATGCAAAGTTGCATAACTGCCATCCAGAGCCTTCCAGTCACACATATGGAGAAAGTACAGCTGGGCTGTTTCCATTTGGACTAGCTCTCTCTGAGGAAATGCCAGGTGTCAATTGCAACATGGTTCTGAGTGTTCAGCATTAAAGCAGCAGAATCTACAATGGTCGTGGAGCTAAGAATAGGTCCTGAACATCAAGGTCTCAGCAGGCTCGGAGCTGCTGCAAAGCTCAGCAGGCTCTCTACTAGGCTGTCCCAAGGCCAGTGGTGAGGTGCGGTGCCTAAGCCCTTTTCAAGTTGTTTTAGGACATGTTATGATGGTCTGTGAACCAAGAAACTGTTACAAATAAGAATAGAAAGGAATGGAATAGAGTAGAATAGGACCGAATACAAGAATTTGCACATATCCCTTAATAGAACACAATTGTGTATTATTTTTGCTGCCAACCAAAAAAATGATATTATTGCATTTACTAATATCTAAAAATCAATAGCTTTTCTATATAGGAAGAACAACCAGTTGGGAAATATATTGGAAGGAAACAATCTTATTTATGGTAGCCTGCCAAACAAAAAACATCCCTATGAATGATTTGAACCAGAAATACACAAGATATATGTGAAGAAAACTGAAGAAGAAAACATGAAAATTGAATAAAGAGAAAAGCATATACTATGTTTGGAAGGGATGCTTAAATTCTATGATGTTTTCCCTAAATCAATCTT